ATCCCGGGACTCCAGGATCATGACCTTAGCCGAAGGCAGTCGCTTAACCAACTGAGCCACCCAGGCGCCCCATAGTTTTTATTTTAAAATGTACTTATACTCCACCTCATTTCAAAAATTTGATCTCTCTTATAAAAATATATACATTATAGGCAGACAGAAAATAACCAATGTACTTAGGATGAAAAAAGATTTAAAAAAATAAGATGAAGAGGTTGCACATAAAACCCCTATAATAAAGCTATGTAAACCTACTGTAGACTAGGCTAGGACCTTCTAGTGGGCCCTACAGAGGGAAATACAGGGAGTCGTATGATACATTATGTTCAAAGACACACCTAAACCAGTTGTTCAGAAAATGTACAGCAATTCCTATTAATAGGACATGAGATAAATTTCTCCCATGGGTCCTGGTCCTCATAAAGAGCCACTGAGTCAAATACTGAGCCTGTCCTCAGCCACATCCCAGAATAGCTAAACAAATGGATTTTAGGTAAAGCTGTTCCTGACAACACATTTGGTGAATGTGGAGGCATTACTTCAAAGCACAGCTGTTAAAAGCAATTCTAAAAGAAGCGAGAATAGAGAACCCAGAAATGGACCTTCACCTCTGTGGTCAACTAATCTTCGACAAGGCAGGAAAGAATATCCAATGGGAAAAAGACAGACTCTTCAACAAATGGTGCTGGGAAAATTGGACAGCCACTTGCAGAAGAATGAAACTGGACCATTTCCTTACACCATACAAAAAATAGACTCAAAATGGATGAAAGACCTAAATGTGAGACAGTAATCCATCAAAATCCTTGAGGAGAACACAGGCAGCAACCTCTGTGACTTCTTGCAAGATACATCTCCAAAGGCAAGGGAAAAAAGGCAAAAATAAACTATTGGGACTCCATCAAGTTAAAAAACTTTTGCACAGCAAAGGAAACAGTCGACAAAACCAAAAGACAACCTACAGAATGGGAGGAGATATTTGCAAATGACACATCAGATAAAGGGCTAGTATCCAAAATCTATAAAGAACTTATCAAGCTCCACACCCAAAGAACAAAGAACCCAGTCAAGAAACAGGCAGAAGACACGAACAGACATTTCTCCAAAGAAGACAT